TCATCGAATCTTTTCGTTAATTTTTGTCAATGATTTTGAAAACAATGATAATTTTAATTACACGGATCTTTCACGAAGAAATATTTTTTTATAAAATTGTTATCCAACTTTTGATCGAGTTTTTAAATTTTTAAAAAGGACATTAATAATTTCAAACTTCCCAAGTGGATGGTGTAAATGGAAGAATTTGTGAAAGAGATTAATCGAGAAATTAATTTTTAACCGCTAAATACGAAGAAGAATTGGTGCAGGATTGTCAATATGCCAATATAGGAAAATTATTTATTATTTATTAAGCGTAGATTTTGTGGAAAGGGATACAAAACGGTTTAATTAACAATAACGTGGACGAGAACAATTGGAGCTTGTACAGTGTACTTTGTCGAATGTTGCAAAAGCGTGCAATCATGAAGGCAATGAGCGATAGGGAAGTATAACGCGGATGCAGTTGAACGATGGTGCGAAAAACATTGTGTCTAGGTGCCAAACAACCAAATGCTATCGTAAATATCGATCTGCTAGGGTTCAGTGATCCATATCAATTTTCCACTGACAACTCCACTTCTCGTAGACAAATGTCAAATTTAAAAAAAGTGCAAGAAAGAACGATACGGATTCGTATAATTTTGTGTGATCGAAAGTTATTATATGCAAGACGAAATTTTTTTAAGGAAGAAGAAGAGAGGATTTAATTAGAGATCGATGATTTGAAGTGAAAATTGCTGGCCGGTTTAATAATTACCAATTACTAGGCAATTACCAATATGAGAGAGACTTATCATCTTGTGAAATCTTGTATTTCATAACGTAAAATTGCATTTGTGCAAAAGAATAGGTTTTATATTTTTAGAAATTGGAAATTTATTAAAAATTAATGAAGTAGGTTCGTTGTACGATTATAAAATATGTATATTGGATTTAAATCTCAAAGATAATTTTATAACTGTTGAAAAAATTTTATAATAAAGAGATGTGAAAATTATGCGCATAAAATTTGAAATGAATAGCTTATAATCCGTGTAGAAATATCGTGTAATGAATTTAGTATCGTAATTACGCTTCGTTGTGAATAATATCATTTTATTTTGATAACAACTTGCATAATATGTTCCATGCTAAACATTGCAAACGTAATAAACGAGTAAACTGTTAAACATGTTGGACGAGAACAATGTGTATTATATTTGTATAATATATTATATTATTACAAAATCAAAGATTTTTGACTCACGTTTTTATTTCTCGTAATAATATTATATCATTATAATATCATTAAGCTCATATTCAGTTTCATAATATTTAATATTATTCTCATTACCGTCACACGCGTACAAAATATGAGCGTAATTTTTGGTTGATAAATAATTCATGTCATATCCATTTGCCGTCGACGGAAAGTCAGAAATTTTACAAGATATATAATACATTTGGAAATATTCATTCAAAGATAAAAATTTATACAATCGGAACGTATTAAAATCGAAAGAATTGTCAACACAATAGTATTCTGCTGTCTCTTCCTTCAAAATAAATTTTGATACATTGAAAAAAGGACTACGTTTAAAATTATCCGCAAAGAAGACAGTATAGAAAAAAAAAAAAATAAGTAAATTCAAATAAGAATCTGTTGGTTACTAAACTGTATAAAGCTTAGAACGAACATCGAAGAAACGTAAAATCTCTATAGTTCCACTCTATATCTCATCTATGATACTGGTGCATATGCGTTCATCAAACTGAGGAAATATGTAGGTTGAGAAATGATGATACTAGGCAAACCAAAAAAAAAGTGAAAAAAACTTTCATCTATTGACAAAAACGCGTCTTTATTTCGAACAAAAAATAGCAGTTTAAATGGAAAGAAAAACCAGAGATGAAGTCGAAGAATAGGTGGTTTTTTTTTTTTTTTTTTACTTGTTATCTCGTACGAATTCAGACAGAAATATCGTGCACGTTGCAATAAACCGTATATACCACTCTTATGGATATTAAAAGCTGCATAAATATAAATATAAAAGAAAGAGAAGGGCCAGGCCCTCAATTGCGTTTCCGCGAGCGATGAGAAGGGTGAAAAATGCGAGTGGTCGACGAAACGGATGTAACAACATAACGAAACGAGCCCTTGGGCGAATCAGCTTAAATTTTCAACGTGCTCCCGCTAATTGAACCGGTCTACCAGTATGGAATCGCTAACAAAGGAACGTTTAAATTAAAACTAAGATAAAAATTACGACGAGCATTGATAATGAATGTAAACTTTTGGATCGAGTAATCATGTCGAAAGATCGCGTATGTAACATGAATTTTAACCTTTGCACAGTCTAATGCGTATCCGTTCACGTACAAATTTATTTTACTCCATTAAGAAGATGAACGGTGACACGTTATGAGCAAAAAAAAGGATAGTTTCTCGTACAAAAATAAATCGAAAACACAGAACATAAGTTACGATTAATTTCTTTTCGAAATTAACTAGTTTTAATTTCTACTTTTTCATTTGCACGATTTTTTAAATATTCCGAGCAATAACGAATACAATAAAAGAGATTGAAACTCGAAAATTTTTTTCCACTTTAGAAAAACTATCAACTATATTTTGTTCAAAAAAAATATTGAACATCAAAATAAATATCCACGTGTTTCACGCTTACCATCGCAAATGATACGTAACAAGTATGCTTATCCGCCCAGTTTATTACTCGTCTCGATTCAATCTCGACGGCACAATAGCAATGCCGCGTCGCGAGATTCGTCCAATTGAAAAAAAAAAAAAACAATCGCGTAGGTACAAGGAAACGAAGCGACGCTTTATTCGAAAAATGAGAGAGGGGAAACAGGTAGGATACAATACGGGGTGTTGAATTGAACCGTACGGACGGAGCTGGCAATATGTGGCGATTGTCCTCATCTTTCATCGCTTGAAGAAAGATGTGGGCATCTAGGGTGAGAGGAGGTCAAAGGCGAAGCGCGAAATGGAAAGCTCTCCTTGAAAGCTGTCGCCGGAAAATAGATACAGGTCGCTTATATACGACCCAGTTCCTCTCCTCCTCGTTTTCATCCCCCTTTTTCTTTTTGATCCTTCGCCCGTTTTCTTTCTCCCCCCCCTATTTATCTCTCTCTTTTTTCCCCTCCTCTTTGACTGCGTTTCACGAATCGCCAGTTGACCGTTCGTCCGATATAGAGATCTTTTAAGAGCTTCTCTTCGCTCCCCTATTTTTCTTCGCTCCCTCCTCGAATATCGTTGGCCCAACTCGCACGAGACATCGCATTGTCGAATAAATTGAAACTGCCAGCCAAATTCCAGAACAATTTTCTTTCTTTCCTTTCGTAAGTTTCCTCCCCGTGACTCGTCGAACAATTTCGTTACTCGCGTATTAAGTGATCTTAACTCATGTTGAAAATCGATCGTATTAATTATAATACACTGTTATAGTTATAGTTAGTTAGAGTTAGCTTTATATAAATTCAAAACATGTGAATAAATATTGAAATTTTTGAAAAATTTTTCAATCGACGAGAAAAAATGCTTCGCGAGTAAATCGTTATTTTTTACACGCACGCGAACTTTCATCGAAATTATCAGTTTAAGTAACTTCTTACGTAACACGATGTTCACATCAATTTCATAGGCGAGAGTGTGTATCAAATAAACGTGATTAACTTCACGATGAAATTTGCAAGGTTATCTTACCTTTCGAATTATTGGAAAAACTTTAAGCACACAGTTATTAACAATCTGCTCGAGCATCGTCTCTCCTTCGAAATTTTGCCCCTTCGAAAATTCTATTTCATCGTGACCCGATTTTTTATTTTCTCCATCGATTTATCGGATTATTACGATACGCGCGTTCAAACACAAAAGAAAGTGGCTCCTCCACGTTATTTCTCTTTCGTTGTCTCGTGTAGCATCGAGATTGCTCGATAATCCACGAGATTTATCGTGGCTAATGCCTGGATGATTCTTGCGTGGAGGGAACGAAGAACGTTTCTCCAACGTTCATAAATTATATCGAACAAAGCCGCGAAACGGAAGAAGGGCAGCTAAATCAAAAGCTCGCTCAAGGAACCGAAGGGTCGCGGTACTCTGGCAGATGGGGGCCAACAATCGAAATGAAAATTACGACGATATCTGCTGAGCAAGCTTTTCTATTTTCGAGGATAAATATCATGTATAGAATCTGTGGATACAATTTCTTCGAGCAAATTATTCTCGTAACATTTCAATTCTTTGCCCCCCATAATCGTGTCGTTTTTAATGCAAAATTAAAAGAGTTAAATGATTTTGAAAATTTTTAATTTTATCGTATTTTACAAAATATTGAGAAAACTTATATATCTGTATCTTGATAAATTTTAAAAAGTTTCACGAGACTTTTCGCATGCATCTTTATTCCATAAATAATACGATAATGTGTTAAACGGGTGCATGAAGAAATCGTTTATGGAGTTATAAATATTCCGTTCGACGAGAAGAATCCGCGAGAATGATTTAGGAGATCGATTTAATGGTAAACCTTCTCGAAACAGCTTTACTAGGAAAGAAAAGCAAGTGAAGCAAGCATTTAACGATTTTTTTTTTTGCTCTTTATCGACTTCAGAATATGATTAGCTAATCGCTCTCTTACGTTACTTTTTCTTCCGATTCTTCTTCATCGTTAATAAATCTTTCGAGAAACGATTCGAATGAAACGAAAGACAGACGAATCCTTATTTGTGTAAAAATTTACACATCTGCATATTCGCAACAACTATTCTACATATATTTTTAATTAAACGTAAAGATTATTTATACCTACTTCTTCAAATATCATAACTATCTAATACCACGCTCCAATATTTTTTTTTTTCTCTTTGCATATCACCTGCATTATTAAATTTTGCATAAGTCCGCAATGACGAATAGTAATAGAGAATAAAACTGAATATATTTAACCGATGCGGATCACGTCGAGTCGTGATTTCATTGCCGTTACCTAATCGAATTTTCTCTCTCGTTGAACAGGTGCAATGAGCTAATGGCGTAACCGGGAACACGAGGCCCTGAAACCTTGGCCTCGAGTAACCCGCCGTGACCACCACCCCATCGTGACGTCTGCATCCGCATCACCCACGTGTCGCCCAAAACACGTCCGAGTACGTGCACTTGGGTAACGTGGTCGTCGTTCGCAACGACGACATGTCGTTTTTGCTGAGCAGAGGCGGCCGAAAGGGGCCCATCATCTGTTTCGTCGGCCTTCTTCTCATCTTCGCCCTCTATCAGCTAGGCATCATCTGCGGATCGATGAAGTACGTGCCAACGGCGATGATGATTGCCAAAGAGGTAAGTCTTTCGTCTCGTTTCATGATCGCGTTTCATGCGTACGAGACGTGCGATCCTTGGATCGTTCCAAATATTATCGGCAATAATACACCTGTGTGAAAACCTGTTTGACTTGTGCGAGTGTAAAATTCCTCTGTCGATTCTTCTGCGAAAATCGTTCAACTTTTCTCAAGAATTTTCCTATCGCTTTGTTCTATCGTTCGCTGTATCGTGATTTTAAATGAGTTTGTTATGCATTCTATTGGTTTGACGGATTATCCCAATAATTTCAGCAATATGTGAATTTGTGTGAAAATCTTTGACTTGTATATGTAATTTTTCTCTCAATTCGTCTGGAAAATTTTTGTGTGTGTCATTTTAAACGAGTAGTTCGTTATATGCTCTAATGGTTTGATGAAAGTGATAATAAGTTTTGCTATGGATTTCTCAATGAAGAAAAAGAGAAAAATAATCTTAAAGTAAGTTAAAAGAAAATTTTCAAATCTTTTTAGATATTTGCATAGACGATTAAATTTTGTATCGATCCTGTGGCTCGATGGCCCGAAGGGAGTTTAGTTTATTGCGACGGTAGATAGATAAAAGTTTGCCCATTTGGATTTTTTGTACAAATTGAATTATTCAAGGAGAAATCGTTGGAGCAAAAAGCATCCAAACTTTTCTGAAAATTTTCGCGGCAGGCGGAGAGCTATTATCGCATTGACGATTTACGAGCGTGCCCCGACTCCGGAGCCAGTAATTACGAATTAGTTTTATCCCAGTTTTCGCGAAATTGTCGTGCAAACAGTTGGTACGTGCCGCAATCGTAGCCAGAACAATCGTCGGTGTCCGAACGCTTAGACAAACGAGTTCCACCAACTTTCCTCGCGTGTGTGTCCCTTCGCCTGGCCAACGAAATGGCGAAATTACGTGTTTACGAGTTACGTAAGATAGCAAACCGGCAGTAATGTAAGTGAATGATCTTGATCGATGGAAAATTTTAGATGGGAGGATATACGCACGACGTTTGAATATTTTAATGCCAGATGCTTTTAAGATAAGATGAGAACTATTTATTATATATATGTATGCGAAACGTTGCGCGTGTGTGTAATGGATTTTGCCCATTTTCTCTCGAGGATTAATATGTATTATTAAATGATACACACGTGCGCAACTAAGTTGAAAGAAATTATTAAATTTAAGCCTTTTTAATTTTTCATTTAGTTATCTTTTCGAACTTGCGCGAAAATTTTCAGCGTGATAATTTGAGTGTGATATCGCGAAAGGAAAAATATAATTCAATGATAATTCCATAATGAAATTGTGTAAAGAAATTTTCACCTCTTTGTCGAAATATAATGGAATATTAATAGAATGGATTCGTAGATCGTTATTTTATAATGTTTCTTTCGAGAAAATTTCAATGAGTATCCAGTAAAATTAAGTGAGATGCAATTAAGACAGCATCAACAGCGGGCTTTATCGCGCGAATTAACCGCGTTTCAGTTGTTCCTTTTCTTCTTCTGAACCGTTTCCAGGGTCCATCTTCAGCGTGGCAAAGTGAAGACAATTAAGTTTCCCCAACTTTTTATTCGAAAATTTTATTGTCAGAAAATTTTCTCCCAATTCTCGACCCGTGTATAAAACTTCTTTATATTATCACGTCAAAGAAACTTCATTGTTTTAAAATTCCATACTTTAAAGAGTTTTCTATCTACGTAAGAAGTTTAAAGAAGTGATCACGTGCGCCTCTTGCAACCTCTGACGTTAGAAAGTTTTTCCCATAGGAAAGAAAAGGGAGGCATCGTATATAAAAAGAGATAAAAAAATCATGGCACTGATAGACTTTCGTGTAAACGTGACTTAGGAAAAATACTTATTGCAATTCAATGATGTAAAATGATGTATCTAAACGAAAATTTACTGAATTTAAAAATAAGTGAATGCAACAATTCATATTATTTTATCAATAATAATTGATATTTCATAATAATATACTTTTCAATTGTTTTCTTAAATAAGTTTAAAATACATTTCATCAATCTAATATGTTCGCTATTTTAAAAACATTTATTCCTATGCAAGTGTTTCATTTTTGTATTACATTAATAAGAAATTAACCCATAAATAGTTCAATCAAATTCGTTCAACATTCACGCAAAAAAAAAAAAGAGAAATGTTTATAAAGTTTCGCTGTGGGAATAGATTTTTGCGACGCTATTTTCTTTCAGGGACCTCGTTTACCTCGAGCACAATCAGAGAACTTTTAATCGAATTTTCAACGCTGTCGTATTATGATGAAACCAATTAATTATCACAAAGGTCACGGTGATGGGATACGAAGGAAAATCGATCGAACGATAGAATAACGAAGGACCCTAACCGTGTCTACAGACGCTTCTCAGCCTAAGAAATCAACGAAAACAAGAAAATTTAGAGGGTGAATTTTAATTCTCGACGAATTTTAATCGTGACAAATATTGACTTCGACAATTGCAACGTATCTTTATGCATAACTTATGAATAAAGTCGGTGCACGCAGCGTGCATCATGTGAACTCATATTGTGACCTCAAAGAGGGTAGAAATTTCCTTGGAACTTCGTTTATGCCGTGGAAACTTTGAAATTGGATTTTTGTTCGTGTTGAGATTAGTCGTGTCGAGAGGATGCTCAGCGTCATTTCACGCCTTGATCTAGCATTCGTGGAGTCGTTAAAAAAGTCACGAGAAAATTGCAATTAATTCTTCGACATATATTTGTACCGTAAAATCTTCAAAATTGGATTTTCTTTCGTCGAAAGATACTATCGTCGCTTCGCTGATTCCGTGGAGTCGTTGAAAAAAATAAGAAAAATATTAAAAAGTTGGAATTAATTCTTCGATACGTGTTTGTCTCTCACGATTGTAAAATTGTAAAATTTATTGATCGAATTTCTTATTATTTATATAGATAGATATATATAATCGATTCTGGCGCGAAACTCTTCTTATCTTGTGACTTTATGGAATTTGGATAGAACGATCGATAGAATGCTCGACAAAGACACGACTGTTCGATTTAATGGACGATTAGCATAGCTGGGAAAGCTCTTTGGGAAGAGTGCCAGCCTACATGCATACTTGTTTATTCGTTCCTCCTCGGCTAAAAGCAATCATCTTACTTGGAAATCTGGAAGATCTGTTGGAATCAAAATAGATTGTGTTAAGCATCGTTTTTATTGAAATGATAAATTTTTTGCTGTTTGTTTTTTTACTACGTGTTCCTGAGTGTGTAAATTGTAGAAACATTTCATTCACGTTGAAGCAACATGGAGAGTATCGGTTTGATTTTTTTTTTTTTTCGAAGTTTCGAAATTAAACTCGTTCTACACTATTTATTTCTATTATTTTATTAATCACACGAAAGCTAAACCAACTTCATCCAAATTAAACACTATATATATATATATATATAAAACACTGTGTATATATCGAAATTAAAAATTTTTTAAAAGTATAAAATTCTTTCATTTAATTTCTGTGCAGTTCATTTACCGCTCGAAAAGAAAACGGATAACGAACAACGACTTTTCTTATAGAAACATAAAGAAATAATTGACAACAACGGTAACTCTTAAAGAAACACGAAACAACAACAACAAAAAAACTTTCCAGGTCGTTCTTTCAGCAGAGGATGCACCTTTTCACAAGATAATATTTTCCACTTATCTACCTTCATTTTTCCTCCATTAATTTCTTTCTTGAAGAATCCACCACCGTGAAGAATAATAGGGACGAGGCTCAAAAACAAGTAAAATGAATCGAGTTAAAAATTATCCTTACGGTCCCGTAACAGAAGTAAATGAAATTTTGAAAACACAGGATAACTCGACAGACACAGTCGAGAGTTTCTTTTTTTTCTTTTTTCTTTTTTCTTTTTTTTTTTTCTTCCTATAAATTCGAACATCAGATCTCCGTCCGTTATCACGATACAAGAGCTCGCGTGATAAGAGAATTTGGTTGAAGAAATTCGATGATTTTGATCGCGTTCAAATTGTTTCGTTACCAAACGAAAGGATGGAAACTTTTCTCGTCGAGAAAGCACATCCCCTTGATTTCTAACGAAGAGCCCGGTTATAACGAGGGACAAAAGAGATTACCGCCAAAGGATACGTCGTCATATTAAAACCTGCAGCATCGTATTAAAGCAAATCCTGTAGATAATATGTAAGAAACACGAGCTTTTAAGAGGAACTCGACGATAAACAAGTTGATCTGACGAAAATTGCAAAGGAAATATCTTCATCTTGACAACGGATCATTGTTCAACATTCTTGCCCGAAATTTTATCGATTTTTTAAAAAATACGTATGATAACATTGTTCTTTATAAATTTATCACTTAGCAATCTTCGTCGTTCTTCTATTATTTTTTTCTCAATTTCGTTATAATACACAATTGATATGCTACTTTACAGAGTCTCTCATGAAATTTGTAATTTTTTTTTTCAAATTTCTTTATCAAAAAGACACACGCCCTTTCTTAACTTTCATAGAATAATAATCCGATCGAGATAAATAGAAGCGTATGAAATATTTTTTTTTTTTTG